TCAGCCATTATTCGAAAGCTCGTGAACTAAGACTCAAGGATGACTTGCAGTTAATGAAACGTGGCACCAAACTTGTTGCTGAGTATGCCCGTGCCTTCAAAAAAATTTGTGACCAACTTCATGCCATTGGCAGACCCGTCGAGGACATTGATAAAGTGCACTGGTTTCTTCGTGGACTCGGTACCAAATTTTCAGCTTTTTCTACTGCTCAGATGGCTCTCACCCCTATCCCTTGCTTTGCAGATTTAGTCTCTAAAATTGAAAGTTTTGAGTTGTTCCAGCGTTCCCTTGAGTCTTCTAACTCCACTCCTACAACATTCACAGCCACTAATTGTGGTTACACCCATGGAAGCCACCATGCTTCCTTTAGCAACGTGCGAGGTCATTCTTATTCTCACAAAAACAGCTCTTCCAATCGAAGACGAACCCACTCAGGTCATGGTCGTTGACCACCTCACTGCCAAATATGCCGCAAAGAGGGCCATTATGCTGACCGCTGCAACCAACGATATGTTCGACCTGATTCTTCTCATGCTCACCTTGCTGAAGCCTTTAACAAGTCATGTTCTCTTGCTGGAACCGATGCTGTTGATTGGTTTCTAGACACTGGGGCTTCGGCCCATATGACTGCCGACTCATCTATTTTGGATCAGTCTAAAAATTACACGGGTAAGGACTCTGTGATCGTAGGAAATGGTGCATCCCTACCCATTACCCACACTAGTACTCTTTCTCCTGTTCCAAATATTCACTTATTAGATGTCTTGGTTGTCCCTCACCTCACTAAAAATCTTTTTTTCAGAAGTAAATTAACGTCTGATTTTCCTCTCTCCGTTACATTTACTAATAATCTTATTACTATCTAGAATTGTCAAACAAGAAGGGTGGTGGCAACCAGTAAAAGAGATGGAGGACTATATGTGCTAGAGCGCGGCAACTCTGCTTTTATTTCAGTCCTTAGAAACAAATCTTTACGTGAAATAAACAAATCTTTACGTGCTTCATATGATTTATGGCATGCTCGTCTAAGTCATGTGAATCATTCTGTTATTTCTTTTTTAAATAGAAAATGTCATCTTTCTCTTACGTCTTTATTGTCTTCTCCATCATTATGTTATACTTATCAGCTTGCGAAAAATCATCGATTGCCTTATTCCCGCAATGAACGTAGGTCATCTCATGTGTTAGATCTTATTCGTTGTGATCTTTGGGGTCCTTCTCCTGTCAATCAAATTCGGGTTTTTTTTTATTATGTTATTTTTATTAATGATTACTCTCGATTTACTTGACTTTACCTTTAAAATTTAAATCTGATTTCTTTTATATTTTTTTTCAATTTCAAAATTTTGTGGAAAATCAATATTCTTCTCCCCGCTGCATTTCTTATATTTTTTTGGGTTATAGTCCTGCTCATAAAGGGTTCCACTATCTTGATCCCATCACCACTAAGCTGTATATCACCCGCCATGCTCAATTTGATGAAACTCATTTTCCTACTATCCATACCTCCCAGGCCCAACCTCTCCCCTCTGTTCCTATTTCAAATTTCTTGGAACCACATCTTTATCACATTGATTCACCCCTCCCCCTCCTACCCCCCCACCCACTTCATCATCACATATTCCTCGATCCAGTTCATCCCCGTATGATATTTGTTCTGACCTTGTGGATGAGTCTGTGCAGGTTGATACTTCTCTTGCAAGTTCCACTTTGCCACCCTCGATTTCTAATTCGACCTCTATTGAACCTACTGTTGATTCCTCTTCTTTGGGCACTCATCCTATGATCACATGAGCCAAAGTTGGTATATTCAAGACTTGTCATCCAGCAAATCTTGGTATTTTGGGCTCATCTAGACTTCTTTATGCTCTTCTTGCATCCACTGAGCCAAAAGGATTCAAATCTACAGCTAAAAATCTTGCTTAGGTGGCTGCCATGGATGGAGCATTACAACAAAATGATACTTGATCTTTGGTTCCTCGCCCTGCCAACACCAACATCATGGGCTCTAAATGGGTGTTTCGTATTAAATATTTGTCTGATGGATCCGTCGAGCGTTTCAAGGCTCATCTTGTTGCCAAAGGTTATACTCAGATTCTTGGTCTTGACTACACTGACACTTTTAGTCCGATTGTCAAGGCTACCACTATCCGTGTTGTGCTCTCTATTGCAGTCACAAATAAATGGCCTCTTCGACAACTTGATGTCAAGAATGCTTTTCTCAATGGAACTCTTATTGAACGTGTTCATATGGAACAACCTTCTGGGTATATTGATCCTCGATTTCCCACTCATGTTTGTCTATTAAAGAAAGCCCTCTATGGTTTAAAGCAAGCTCATCGTGCCTGATTTCAGCATTTTAGCTCATTTCTTCTCACACTTGGGTTTTCTTGCAGTCGCGCTGACACGTCTCTTTTTGTCTTTCATCAGAAATCTAACCTTATCTATTTGCTTCTTTACGTTGATGACATTATTGTTACCGGCAACAACTCATCTCTTATTGACAGCTTTACTCGCAAGCTTCATTCTAAGTTTGCTACCAAAGATTTGGGTTCTCTCAGTTACTTTCTTGGTCTTGAAGCTTCACCCACTCTGGTCTCTTTATTAGTCAGTTAAAATATGCTCGAGATATTCTTACTCGTGCTTAGTTGCTCTATAGCAAACTAGTCCACACTCCCATGGTTGTTTCTCAACACCTGACTGCTGATGGTTCTCCTTTCTCTGATCCTACTCTCTATAGATCTCTTGTTGGCGCCCTTCACTACTTGACTATTACGCGTCTAGATATTGCCTATGCTGTCAATTCTGTCAGTCAATTCTTGCATGCTCCTACAGCAGATCACTTTCTTGCTATCAAACGTATTATTCGCTATGTCAAAGGAACACTCCACTTTGGTCTTATCTTTCGTCCATCCACTGTTCCTAGTATGCTAGTCGCTTATTCGGATGCTGATTGGGCTGGTTGTCCTGATACCTGTCGTTCTACATCCGGCTATTCCATTTATCTTGGTAACAATCTCGTTTCTTGGAGTGCCAAAAAGCAACTTACTGTCTCACGCTCCAGCTGTGAATCTGAGTATCGTGCTCTTGCCACAACTGCTGCTGAACTTCTTTGGGTTACGCATCTTTTGCATGACCTCAAGGTCCCTATTTCACAGCCGTCTTTACTCTTATGTGACAACAAAAGTGCTATTTTTTGAGCTCTAATCCCGTTTCTCACAAGCGGACCAAACATGTTGAACTAGATTATCATTTCCTTCGAGAACTTGTTATTGCTGGCAAACTTCACACACAATATGTACCCTCTCATCTCCAAGTTGCTGACATCTTCACAAAAAATATTTCTCAAACTCTCTTTCAATTTTTCAAATCCAAGCTTCACGTTGGTTCAAATTCGACGCTCAGCTTGCGGGGGTGTTAAGGATAGTTGACCGTTAATTATAAGGCAACTTACATTACGGTTTACCATATTTGCCCTTTTATTAAAGACAAATATTGTATTCAATTATTATTCTTTCCTTTTATTGTTATTTCCATATTATTTATAATTTACCATATTTCTATATTCTGTAAATGATTATAAATAAGAGAACTTTCACTACCATTTAGGTGTGGTGGATTCAGCAAACATTTACAATGCTTCTAGGGACATAAACAAAATTTAATCATACATCATACATATATGCGTAAAATACATACATATTGAGTAAGGTACGATCAATCATACATGTCATAGTCCTCACAAAGCATTTAAAAACATTTAGATTTGCATAGTAGAAGTTCTAAAATGTGCAATAAAGCTAAACCGTCATTAGCTCATAATTTGAGGCTTAGCTAATCCATTTTTATGCTCAATTCATCCTTACCTCGTGTTAATAGCTCATATGTCTGAGTCTTGTCAAAACCTACCAGTATTTCTTACTTAGAAATAAAAAATGGTTACTTATTTAGTCGATCCAATTCCCAGGCTTCTACCGCCTTCATCTATCCTGTAGATCTCCTCACCCTGAATTCACTAAGATAAACTTCATAAAAATCATTCAAGATTGAGGGAGATATCCCTGTCTATCGCTCAAACCAAACTTGATCTCCTTCCTCAAGCTCCAACCGAAGTATACTTAATAAGATTTGACTAAAATAAGTTAAAGGGGATGATGAATGCAACTAAAATAGTCTTGAAAGACATGATTGATGGTTAAAAATTTGGAATGCATGCCTATTGTTGATGCATTATCTAGTATTATGTAAATACTAAGCAACTATCAACTCTTCTTGAATTTCAAGAATACATTAGGATTGAATTAACTGTGATTGGCATTATGAATTGTTATGAAATTATTGGAATGAATTATAAATGTGTGAGGTGACATGATTATAATTTGATGGAAATGAGCACCGATTTTGAATTTATTTAGACCTAAATAAAATTGAAGGCCAAGTAAACTTATATTAAAAAATATATATGGAGAACGTTTTGATGGGTCTTTAATCTACCGTACGACCAATTATCCCGTGAGACTGAGACCCGCCTAGAACGAAATGATAAATCTTTATTTAAACGAGAAACAGAGGAGGAAGTGGGGAGAGATTTGTTCTTATTAGTTAAATGGAGACGAGGATTATATTCCCCTCCACGCTCACAATTCTCTGTCCTACTCACTTTATTTATTTATATATATATTTCTCAAATTTTAGTTTTTAGAAATAATATATATGAATTATTAATGAATTAGATTATATTACAAAATAGAAATTATCCATTAATACATCTAATAAATTAAAAATATTAAATCGAATAATTAAAAATTTATTTTAACAATGATCAAGATTAATAGAACTATAAACCCAATGATAAAAAATTAATTAACTAAACTCTTTAATTAATCAATTTTGGATTCATAAGCAAAGGGGCAGGCTAATCTATAATGGCTTTAAATGTAAACAAACTCTGAAGAACAAAAGAAAAAAAAAAACAGAAGGTCTGCAACAACAATAATGATAATAATAATAATAATGTTGAAAATTCATTCCAAGCAATACTTTATTTTCACAAGAATAATGCTTGTTCAGCAGGTTAACTTTTTAGTATTTGTATGAAGGAGTTTATGAGCAGAGATATCAGAGAATCTACTTTCCAACACACTACCAGATGTTCAATCACTAACTTAAAAGCAGATCTATGATGAACAGCATCCATATCTTCATGCTTCAGTCTATCATTTTAACTCTACCTTTCATTTTTCCATATGGACTATACTTGTTGAGAGCTCTACTACTGCTCTTTCTTGCTTTTATTAGTAATGGTTCACAGAATTTACTGGACTACTACGTCGTTCTTTCGAAACTCCCACCGATCTGCATATGCAGCCATTCGGGTGATGACCCACGGCTGTATTCTCTTGTTGCTTGTGAGCCGAATGTCGTACCTGTTGTATCGAATGTCTGTTGGCCATACTGAAATGGAAAAATTAGAGTTGTTATGGTAGAATGATATTTCAAGAGAAAAAATGGATCTTCATCTCCCTCAATCTTTCCCCTGGTTTCACCCTACAAGAACCCCTAAGCTTGTGATCTAAGAACGTCAAAAGAACCATAGTTTTCTATCTCTGTAACCAAATCCTAATTTATACCGTTGGCTGTGAGGAAGCACAAAAAGGGTCATTGCCATCGAGCGTATTGCATTTTTCAAAGAGTGGACATGAGATCCCACATCGGTTGGGGAGGAGAACGAAGCATTCATTCTTTATAAGGGTGTGGAAATCTCTCCCTAGTAGATGCGTTTTAAAAACCTTGGAGGGAATCCCGAAAGGGAAAGCCCAAAGACGACAATATCTACTAGCGGTGGGCTTGGGCCGTTACAAATGGTATCAGAGCCAGACACCGGGCGATGTGCCAGCGAGGAGGCTAAGTCCGGAAGGAAGGTGGATACGAGGTGGTGTGCCAGCAAGGACGATGGGCCTCGAAAAAGGATGGATTGGGGGTCCCATATCGATTGGAGAAGGGAACAAGTGTCAGTGAGGACGCTGGGCCTCGAAGGGAAGGTGGATTGTGAGATCCTACATCGTTTGGGAAGGAGAACGAAGCATTATTTATATGGGTGTGGACAGTACCTGCTAGTGGTGGGCTTGGACCATTACAGTACACGTCCAAACTCCCATCTGTTTGTAATTCTCACCAACTATGTGAACCAAGAGTTCACTTTCATTTTCCTTTAGTGAGAATAGATCAAGCCCACTCAGCTTTGAATATCAGAATTCAAAAATTTGCTATCCAAGATAAAAAGTTGAAATTGATAGGGTAAAAACATGCATGACTTCGGATCTTCATAACGAATGGTTGAATACATAGAATCAAATAGCAAAATGAACAGAAAATTTGTTTCAGATACTCACATCTTTAGGAGAAAACACTTCAATTCCAGGGCCAATCCTCGAATTAACTGCTTCTAGCTTCATTGACAAGAACTGCACATCAAGTGAAAATTGAGTACCATGGAGTTCAGTACTTTTCAGGTCTACAAGAAAGCAATATCCATAACTAGAAAGCTTCCAGTAATACCTCAACCTGACGCTGAAGAGATTGAATGTAATTGATTATCTCATCTAGTACAAGAGCTTTTCCAATCACCTGAGAACTTCCAACTCTTAATTCCATGCTTACAACTTAAAAGTGACAACCAATTATTGAAAAGTCGACGAGCTATCAATGATTTGGGGGAATCAAAGAACAAATGGCCAGATGGTTTTATTGGAGAATTCTTTGAAAAAGTTTCAAACATTGTCAAATCTTACAACATGAACTTGTTCCAGGATTCTTTTCATAAATGACATCTCAGTTAAGCTCGAAGGAAAAAAAACGCCGCATTAATGGGATATATAAGATACTGTTAATCACAAAGGGATCTACCTTATTACACCCAGGGACCAAATCTTGTAGAATTTTCATTCTCTCACTTATCTTTTCTCTTCTGGCCTGTTCATCAGAGTATTCTAATCAACAAGAGATATTCAAGAATCCAACAGATACACAGAGAAATCCAAGTTGGTAGCACTAATACATAACTAATGGCTTGAGTGAGTACCCTTTCTGCTAGACTATGGCTATCAGTTGCTTGGCCCCTTCTCGCTCGCACATGGATGTAATCCAATTTGGGTTTTTCTGGAGGGGGTTGAGAGTTCTCCTCGGCCTTGCCAGATCTGGGTTCCGCTTCTGTTTTAGATTCGTGTTTATCATCTCTACAAGCCGCTGATTTAAGGCGTTTTCCACCAGAGTCATTCTGTCGAACAGTTGGCAGGCACAAAGAAAATATGATTCAAATTCTCAGTTTCAATACACCAATTTCATTCTAGATTTAACCAGAGAAACCGAAACAGAATTCAGATCAATGTAATGGAAGTCAAGAGAGAAGAAACGAATACCGCGGCGCCACTATTGCCACTGACATTGTTGCCATTACTAGACGAACTGAGCTTAGGCGAATCTTGGTCTGAATCAAGCCGCTTCTTGGAAACGCCACGGACATGAGCTAGTCTCTGCAACAGCAGCAAGTTCATTGGAACACTAGACGAAACCTCTGGATTCCCCATAGCAATCTCTTCAAAATGCCCCAAATTATGGGCGAGGTGAGCCATCCTGAGGGCGAGTCCAGGTTCAGATTCATCAACACCAGTTCCACCATTAATTGGGAACTGCCAGATCTCCGGGAGATTGTAGGGCGTGATATTGGCATTGGCATTTGGGTTACTTGGAAATGAGCCATCGTTCATCAAAGTAGGTGGATTCATTTCGATTCCCGAAAGCTTCTTCTGGGGATTCAAATTAGAAGTATGAGTATCAATAAGCTCATAATATTGGGAATTACAGAGAACCCAGAAGCGATGAAAGCTCAGATTATTGAAAAACCTGCAGATTTCTGTGATGAAGAAACAGAGAGAGAGAGAGATGTGGAGTTTAAGTAGGTTCGAAAAGGAAGGCGAGTGAAAACGATTGAATTTATGCTTATGACTGCGAAAGAGAGAGAGAAAAAAAAAAAAAAAAAAAAAAAAGAAAAAAAAA